ATATGCACTGTACATATGGGGCACACACGGATTTGGAAAAACCAGTTGGTTAGAGGGTGGCACCGAAACGGCGTTTACCTACGCCGGCATTTCCCAACTATTGGTTTCCTCACGTCCAGCATTAGGAATAAGGTTTTCGCCCTCAATTTGAACTTTTTCATCACAAGAAGAACGCTCAAGATCCATGAAGAAACTACTTGACGCCTCTTTGCAAATATGGAATGGAGGAATTTTTAATACGCGCGCATGGTGCAAGAAGGTGCAACTTTTATTTGAGAAATAATTTCAAAAAGGATAGTCTTCTTTAATTAGCAAGTTATTCGATGCAGTGGAAGATGAACCCTTTATGCCTCATTTGATAACAAACGTTATCCAATCAAATAAAATAAAAGTGAAAATGAGCATCCATTTAGTCTTGACAACTGACGAGTTTGAGAATATCCCGAAAGCTTTAAGGATTTCCACAATTGTCCGTCTCGTATTCCACGTGTTAGTGACAAAGAGTTTAGCACGTCATGCGATGGTGGGACCAATTACATCGATAGGACTACTTTGGCCTTATTACAGTCCAGCGAAATCGGACTGCTGTTACTAAAACCACTTCAAAGGTATCATACTAATTCCCACAGAAATTGTCAACCCATGATTACTTATTTTGTTTATACAGAGATAAGCTTCCGACAATACCTAAAGCTTCATACAGAGGAAGCATAAACTAAATCAGAATAGCTGTGCATTGGGGCTTCAAATAATTATTGAAATTGAAGCATATAATTAAAAACTCTTGATGAATACAAGCTTTAAGTATTTTCGGAAGCTTATATCTGTATAAACAAAATAAGTAATCATAGGTTGACAATTTCTGTGGAAATAAATGACTTCGAAAGTATGCTGAGCGAATCAAACATATTTTAACAGAGGCGCAACTGAGTCAGCTTACCGAATACTTTAAAAGCAACTCAGGTTGCTGCAGGAACCTTCGAACGCGCTAGATTATGCGATCCTCAGGTCAAATGCAATATTATTCCGACTCGCTATTGTCTGCATTTGGATTATATGCTTTTTTTCGTACTAACTGGAGAACATAGCTTGAAACTAGTTGATTATGCTATTGCTCAACGGTAGAGAGCACTTTTTTATGTTCCAGCAACTGCAAGGATAACAAGTATCTTAAAAGCCTCCCACAGGAGTGTATTTTAACCAATACGAAAGGAAATTAATAGAACTGTAATGTCACAAGGACAGTAGCGGAAACGAAAAGTATCATTTTATTTGTTATTTCCGGCTTAACAATTTTGATATTCTCCACGTCTATCTCTAGTGACTTCCTATCTGCCTTAAATACGACTGTTCCCTTCTTATGTTCCGCGTGTCTGCCGCAACCCCTCCCACAAGCATGTTGGCCACCCTCCCTTCTTGACTAATTTCACTCGAATAAACACGTGTCGAAAACAGTCACGACTACAAAAATGCCTCTTGAACACGCCGTCCTCCCCCTCTCGATCCAACGAAGGAAAGCGGACTAAAGCCACAGCTGTTGTGTCTAGTTGACCTGAACATCCCTTCCCCGAAGGATGCACCGCCAATGGCCCACTTGAACAAACCACCTCCTCCCCCTGATCGATCCCTTTTGGGCCTCTGTACAGGACACCCCTTCCCGGGCAAATGTTCACACCAATCGGATGCCACATGAATTGGCCCCAAAGTCACAAGAAAGTAGCGGTCACCCCCTCTCCCAAGACCAGCTTCACTCTGCACCCATATGACGTTGTTGAACGTGCGTCGTACCCTTGTCTATAGTCAGGCGATATTTGGCCGACTCCCTTGTTCTTAGCTATGTGTATCCCTTGTTAAGGTTTGTACCTAGTTTATGCTTCACTATTTATTTATCAGTACTGTACTGCATTGATGGTTGTTATCATTAGGGTTTGACATACGCGTTACTACTGGATATAGAGTCAGCGGAGGCAAGAAACCCGAAACACTGTTCATACAGGTTGAAAGCGAACCTGGGATGAATCAGGTGTAAAGTCCAGTTCGATAATTGATAAGCTGTTTCAGCTTCGCAGAGGATTTTTTCCGTTATCTGATGCGCTATTTTCTTTGAAAATTGTTTTGTTCGGCTGCAGATTCCAGAAATTTTCCCAGTGATAAATACAAACATTCATTCTTAAGTACTTTAAGTACGCCTTAAGCGATATGCAGTCGGTACTCCACAGGATCTTTCCAGTACTGTATGAATTTGTCCTGATTATCTGGCCAGCCGTCAATATATTTATATTTGGTCGTCGAACACAGTGAAGAAAAGACAGAAGTGCATTAGGGGCATACCAAGGGCAGCCTTAGTCCGAGAAATTAAAAAAAAACCGTAGACAGTAAAGTCAGAATCTGAAGAAAATGATCTGAGCAGACGGGTGTTGCGAAAACCGTGTGAGGTCTGTGGTCTCTGTTGTCCAATGGGTCAGCATGTATTTGTTTTCAATGAATCGGCAAAGGTCACGACACGGACCTAACTGTTGGCGTTAACCGCTAAACGCGCTCCTAGAATGGATTTCGCTAACATACAAACAGTCAATCCCATGGAAACCTAAGGCATTACCTCTGACTTGAGTTAAGATGACATCTAAAGTACACCAAAAAGCGCAGGCTCCTCGTGAAAATTCTTTGCTAAAATTAATTTCAAGTGGCGAGGACGCAATGTTCCGATATCACGCAGCGTTATGCCTCCACGTTGTTGAGCTAAAAATCTCATTCCAAGTCTTCTTTTTACTTTTCCTTAATGTGCCATTTTTTCTCAAACTGTCAAATGCTGTGTCCTACCGCTTTCCGATGTTAGAAAGCCCTTTTAAGTAAAAGTTCACGTGTTTGGGACATTTAGCTAGTAATAAGTCGAATTAATTGAACTCATGTGGAATGAATCATCGTCAGAATAACATGACAGACAAAGGCCAGGGAGGTCGGGACGACCGTTTCCGGCTCA